ATATTATTTGTGTAAATAAAAGTTCTAAGTGAATGTTGGTGAAATATCAAAGAGTACCCAAATGTCTTAAGTTTTAATACATTGCATTTATTATACAAAAACAACAAACCTTTATCCCACTAAGTGGGGTCAGCTACATGACTCCCTTTGCTCCATTGTGTCCTATTGAGTGGGATATTTTCATTTAATTCTAATAGATTAAGATCATTTTTTATACAATTTGCCCAAATCTTTTCAGGTCTACATCTGTCTTGCTTAACATAAGTCAAATATAAAATATTCACTCTCCTAATATGACCATCAGATGGTCTGCGTTTAATGTGACCAAGCCATCTAAGACGATTCTCTAATCTTGTCTGGCACTGAAGCTACACCAACCCTTATCACCAATATATTCATTTCACATTTTGTCTCTAAATGTCAAGTCAATCATCCACCTAAGCATTTTCATTTCAGCAACACTTAACTTTGTTTTATGCTTCTCTTTTAAAGGCCAACATTCAACATTCTGCACCATAGAGAATTGTAGGTCTAACCACAATCTTATAACATTTTCCTTTCAGACTGAGCAGTACTTTTCTATCACACAATAGGCCCGATGTATTCCTCCACTTCAACCACCCAACATGAATTCTACTAATAATATCCTCATCTATATTACCATCATTTTGAACTCTATACTCAAGATACCTAAAACGATCACACCTTTTAATGATTTGATCACCCATAATTACAACTCTGTCATTAGAACTACTACTACTAAAATTACATACCATGTATTTAGTTTTAATTCTACTCAAACGAAGGCCTTTAGACTCCAATGCAGACCTCCATAATTCAAATATTTCCTAAGCTCTTTCTCTAATCTTATCCAAAAGGAGGTCATCAACGAAAAGCATACACCTAGGTACATTCTCTTGTAAATTTTCAGTAAGAGAACCCATAACTAAAGCAAAAAGATATGGACTTAAAGCCGATCTCTGATGTAATCAAACTAAAATAGAAAAATACTTGGTCAATCCTCTTTCTTTCCAAACAAAAGTAACAGCTCTAGCATACATCTCTTTAATGACTTGAATAAAAATCATATCAATGCATTTCTTCTCTAGAATAATCCAAAGGACTTCTCTTGGAACATTATCATAAGCTTTTTCTAAATCAATAAAAATAATATGTAGATCCTCCTTATTCTCTTTGTACTTCTCCATCAAACCTCTCAAAAAATGTATAACTTCCATTGTAGAGCTGCCTCACATAAATCCAAACTGATTATGAGAAATATTTGTATCAAGTTTTAACATATGTTCAATTATCCAATAACATAATTTTGAAGTATGAGACAGCAACTTAATTCCTCTATAATTTGCACGCTCTTGTGCACCCCCTTCATTGTTAAAAATGGTGACCAAAATACTCTTCCTCCGCTCCTCAAGCACCATTTTAGTTTTTAAAATAATAATAAATAGTTTAGTAAACAAAGAAACTCTCAAATTTCTTAAATATTTCCACACTTCAATTGAGATATCATCAAGTTCTATTGATATTTCATTCTTAACTTTCTTTAAAGTCTCTTCAACAACTTTTTTACTAATGCGACGGTAAAAATAAAACATTTTATTATCATTAACATTATTACACTAAGATCGATTATATTTTCAGAAACTTCATCAAAAAGTTTATCAAAATAGCTCATACATTTATGTTGAATATCTTCATCTAAGAGAAGTACTTTTTTTTATTTTCATCTTTAATAAATTTTACTTGCATTAAATTTTTTATTTCTTTTCTCTTTGTTTGGTTAGTTTATATACATATTTTTCACTCTATTTAATATCTAATTTATTATAAAGATCACCAAAAACAATATTTTTTGTGTCACAAATTGTTCTCTTAGACTCCTTACAAGCCACCTTATATTTTTTGTAGTTCTCAAAGCTTTTATATTAAAACTAATTATTATAACAACTTCTTGTATTTCATCTTTTCATGCACATTATTATTTCACCACAAACTATTTTATTTATAATTTTTTTTTTTCTTTTTGAGTCACAAAGTACATTTTTTTGTCACTTGGTTAATATTGTTTGTTATTTTATTCACATAAAACTCGCTTCTTCATGAACATCCCAAATCTTGAAATCTTGAAGTTTACACATAAACATAATTTTATTTGTATCTTTGAGGTGCCCTCATCTAATTATATGATTAAATTTTCTTATATTATTTCTTACAACTTTCATCTTAAAATACATAACTAATAATTAATGTGTACATAAATTTTTACTTGAAATGACCTTACAAACTTTACACTCTCGATGATCTTTTTATCTCATAAGAAAATAATCAATTTGTATTTTATTAGATACATTCTTATAAATAATAATATGTTCATATTTTTGTTTAAATAAAATATTAGCAATAACAAAATTATATGTTAAAGCAACAGCTAAAATAATTCTACCTTCTTCATTAATTCACCACTCTACCAACATGTCCATTTCAATCCTCACCAATAAAAAATTCTTTCTTCTAAAGTTATCATTTGTATTAATTCTTACGTCATTCCAGAATTTTTCTTTTGAACATGTATCTAAAACTACTTGAGTAGTATAAACACTTATAACATTAAAAATTTTAGAATCAACAACAACCTTAAGTGTTATAATTCTATTTTCAATTCTATTAACTTTCACAACATTATCTTTCAAACTCTTGTCTATAATTACATCTAACTCCTATCTGAATACCAAAATTTAAAATCTAAATTATCAATCTCTTTAATATTTTCTCCAACCCAATTAGTTCCGTGAATGTATAAGATATGTATCTTCTTACGAACCATAATATCAACTAATTTCATTAATTTACTTGTGAGAGTATCTATATTAAAAGATCATATCCTAACATTAATTTCACTGACTAACTTCTTTACATGCATATGTCTGTAATATGAAAACTCTTGCTTATTTGATACGACACTCAAGCGTCAGTGTAGCGGCCCATGCACATTTTTTTTACTGTATTTAGATCTAAAGTACGTCAATTTCAAGAAACGCTCTAGCATTTACACAAGAAATTAAAGGATTTTTGTCATGATTTTTGATAAATTTTTACGCTGGTTGTCGATTACCTAACATAACCCTCCACTTTTCGCATACGTAGCTTGAGACCAGACAATGACAATGTGAATACATAGCATTTATTATACAATGGTAAAATGAAAGCATAACTCAAACTAAATTTAAGCGATTAAAATGAATAAAATATTATGAAAGTTCTAGATGAATTTCATAAAACTGCAATTAATATCAACAAACTGAATGGCTCCCAACACAATTCAAAAAAAAAAAAAATCAATAATAGTTATGTCTGGTGCCTTGAATGATAATGTTAAGATATCAATGACAAAACTATAAACTATAAAGTAAGAAATATCAGTAGCACCAATTAAAGTGAAAGGAAAGCTATGGAGAATGGAGGGGGAAAAATTCACTAATAAGGTTGTTGAAAATAAAAAATAACACGGGAGGATGACGAAAGAAACTAGAACCAATGTTCTAATACAAGCATACACAGAAGCAGGGAATAAAAAATAAAATTTAAGATTATTGCCCATTAAAGGATTTATGATATAAAAATGTTAAATAAATAATAAAACAATAAAGAAAGCAAGTGAACCACATGCATACAATTCATTATGAATGATAAACACCAATAACTGAACATGATCAAAATAAGAACAATGCAGGTATTATTAACAACAAGTAATGACAAATATGGGACGTAAGGGAGAATACTAGAAGACTATAAATTTAGTATTGATCATGTCTGTTGAATCTAAACATGTCCTTTAGACCGTGAAGGAATAGAGTCGGATTCTTGGGAAAGGAGAAAGAAAGGGATAGAAAAAGAGGGGTGATCTTCGAGCTTGACAGCCCCTATTATTCCACATAAATTCGAAAACAAGGGAAAAGGAGCAAGCTTCCTACATGAAGGGGAGAGAGTGAGAGCCTAAAGGACCCCATTTACATGCCAAGGGGTCCTCTATTTATAGAGAAATAAAAGGGAGAGAGGGATATTTATAGCCCTATTTAAAGGAGAGCAAAGAGGGGTATTTTGGCTCTCCTGGAACTTCCCACAGCTTGACTCATCCGCGTCGAGTGGCCGACCCAATTGGCCAAATGGTGAATGTGACGGATTGGGCGGTATGCATATAAATGTGGATGGCTGCTTGGAGGGGTGAGGTGATCGACGAGCGGGCAGCCGGCCGGAAGGCAAATGGCTGACCAATGGGAGGCCGACAAGATTTGTGGTATGTATGTAAATTTCCTGTTTTTAGGAGTTGGCCAACCCGAATGGCGGTCGGTTGGAGCAACGAGGCGGTTGTCCAATGGATGATCAGACGGAGGGGTGAAGTGGTCGGCCAATTGGCGGTAGGCCGAAAGGCAAGGGGGTCGGTCAGACTTGTGTGATGTGTATGTCAATTTCCTGTTTTTAGGTGTTTGTTGGCCCGATTGGTTGTCGGTCGGAGCAGCGAGGCGGCCGGCCGGAGCAGCGAGGCGATCAGCCGGTGGATGGTCAACAAGAGGGGTGAGGTGGTCGACAGGTGAGCGGCCAGCCGAAATGCAAGGTGGTCGGCCAGCTGCAAGATTTGTGTGGTATGCATGTAAATTTCCAGTTTTTAGGAGTTGGCCGGCCAAGACGGCCAACCAGCTGGTCCTTCGTATGATCGGCCTAAGTGACCGGCCGTGCAGGTCCGTGTTTGCAAACTCATCTCTCATGAGGACAATTCATTCAGCTTCGCGAGGTCACATTTTTGGGCTATATAATGTCAAATTAGTATAAAAGGGAATATCATGTGGGAATTGGACACCTCAAGCTGAAAGGCCTAAAACAACAACCAAACAACGAAAGCATCAAATTTTCTAGAACAAGGAAAAGAAATAATCCGAGAGAAAGCAACAAAGTGATAATTAAATTTTAAGAACTACAGCTTATACCGAATATGGCGCTGCCTGATGAGGACCCTAGCATGGTGAATCGACTTGGCCATTCCAGACTTAAAGACCTGGGTTTGCAGCCTGCGCTCCAGAAAGTTCTCCACAGTCAAGGCCAAGACGTAGTCGAGCTTGTTCTGACCCTCCTCCAGCAGCCCGTATCTAAACATCCGGCGAAGAAGAGCCTCACCCTCAAAAATTCGCTTAGAGTTCTTCTCATCAAGTGTCAGGAGCTCCCTCGCTGCATTACGGATCCGGCTCAGCGCATACTGAACCCTCCACAGCTCCCTTTTGCACCTTAACCCATACTCCCCGACCAGCTTAAGCTCCGCGTCCAGCCGTTCCTTCTCGTACGGACGACGGGGCTTCTTGAAAGTCTTCCCGTCTGCGTATCAAACACAAGAAAAAAGAGCTCCGCATCAACGTTAGCAATGAAAAGCTTCGCTTTAAAATCAAAAAAATTCGCAAGAACTTGTTCGGTATTCTATAGAGAGGGCATTGAACAAAAACACATCGAATCATACATTGAAATCTCAGTGGAAAGTCAGAAAAACATTTTAAACCTCTGAAGCAGACTTGACATCAGATCGCAACTCAACGCGCTCCGGAAAATATTAGACCATGCCAAAGAAAGTTAGGGGAAAAATAGGAAGAAACATAAAATATGGTCCCGTAATCAGATCATTTCAAGTTAGGAGAAACAGAGTGGATTCTGAGGAAACCGCAGAATATCATCGGATGGAAAATAAAATGAGAGAGGCTTACAGTTCCTGTAAAAGCTAACGTGAACCATGGCTGGTTCTCCCAAAAAGACCAAACTCCTAAGCCGCCTCGCTTACAGAGAACTGGAGTCGCAACGGAGGCGGGACGGTGGCAGATTTTATAGTGCTCTTGTCTGCTGCCGATAAAAACCCTAACCTGATTGTTATCGCTGATAATGGGCCGAATAGACGACATCGGACCAAAGTTGGGCTTATTATAGGTCTGTTTTTTTAAAGCAAATTTTCTTAATTTGTTTGTATATGTCTTTTCTTTCTTCTTAAAAATAATTTAATAAATTAATCAAAATAATATTTTGTTATTTTACGTTTTTTTTTTTTTAATAGTGGGTTGTCTTTTGTGAACATATCTCGAGAATTAAATAATAGTGGGTTGTCTTTTGTGAATCTTTTGTGAACATATCTCGAGAATTAAAACCAATGAAAGAAAAAAATGAGAGGAAGACAAAATAACTAGGCAAATTCTTATAGAAAAATCGGGGAAAAAGTACATTTATTTATTATTTTACCTCTTATTTATAGAGACGCATTTGAATAATTATAGAAATGAGGAAAAGTTTATGAAAGTTACCCTTAATGTGATTAATTGTGTTGATCTTATATCAAATCTGTATTACAATTTCAATTTGAATATGACGGTAACCAACTAATCAAAATGTTTTAGTTTGATCGACTGAGGCGATTGGTTAGGTGACAATCACATCTGTTAAAGTAAAAAAAGGGTCGGTCAAATAGCTATGACCAGACAATTTTGTAAGGAGATTTTAAGCGATCGGGACTATAGGTATTGTCCGTTAATTGATTCACTTATCATAGTATGTTGGTTGACTTCAACGGGGCAGTCTGTCATTGAATGAAAGATTCAGATTATTGACTGACCTAGCGGACGCCTTAGTGTTTTTGGATGAAATATTTGAACTCTAAAATATGTTTTATATATTTTATAACGTTAATTTTTCCACAATTTAACGCTACACACTATGTATTTTACGCAATTGTACATATCGTTCGAGTAATATCAATTTTTTTTGAGTACAGTGTATTGATCCCACAGGGAAGGCTACTATTTTAAAAACTTAATAAAACTTATAGCCTACTAAAATGAGTTTTAGCCTAGAAGAAAAGTTGATTTAAATTATTGTAAATTCTATCAAATTATCACTAAACATATAGATTTAGTCTAAAGTTAATTTTACTAAAGTTAAATAAGTTAAGAAAGATCAAGTAATGTAAAATACCCTCCTCTTGTAATAAAGGAAGTAATTTGTGTAGAAGTGGAACACTTGGAATTTATATATTGTAATTTGTGACAAATAGAGGCATTCCACTTTTTTTCATTCTTTCAAGTGCATAAAGAAGTTTGGTTTTAACTAGGTAAGCGTTTCAGCCTGTCACCCTAGAAACCTCCCAAGTTACTCACATCAAAACTTATATCCATATCTACTTGCACTGCTCTAAGGACAACTTTTTCTTCACTCAATAGTGTAATGTGGTTTATACTAGTTGTTAAAGCCACAGCTCTCTCAGATCTTTATGGAATCACAACAGATTTTAACGTACCAATTGACCAAACTGACAAATAAATGAAGCAAGAAGTAAAAAACCATCATAATAATAAATAAAAACTCATTCTAAATGTATATAGATACCTGCACATACTACTACTTCATCACTAGAGGAAGGCACAAAGGATTTACTCACGGTGGTTTATACTAGTTGTTAAAGCCACAACTCTCTCGGATCTTTATGGAATCACAACAGATTTTAACATACTAATTGATCAGATTGACAAGTAAATGAAGTATGAAGCAAAAAATCATCATAATAATAAATAAAAACTCGTTTTAAATGTATTCACATACTTACACATACTACTACTTCATCACTAGAAGATTGTACAAAGAATCTACTCACGGTGCATGAAGATAACACAATAGTCCATTATCTTATAATAAAGTAAATTCATATACAATGAGTTTACAACTAATATAAGACAATTTAGAACGAAAACGTATATTTCTCTCTGAGAAAAGAAGTAAAAATGCCACCCTAAATGATCAACATGTGTTCCTTGCACTGCTTATAGCATTCATTTACAATATCTTCTCAATTCTCTCCAAGAAAATGCATAAAAATACAAAACCTCACTTTAAACTCTACTTTTCTGCACACTTAAACCGTTTTCTTACCTTCACAAATGATTCTCTGTCCTATTAGAGCTGCTTCCCCTTGCTCACAACCTCCAATTTCATGCATAACCGCTGCAAAAAGCTGCATAGAGTAGTTCTGGCATACCTTTCTCGGGTAAGCCTGAGAAATAACTGGCACTTAGGCGCCAATCTGTAGCACCATGGTGCCGCCTTTTCTAGTTTCTGGACAAAATCTGGTGCCTAGGCGCTCATCTGCGGTGTCATGGCGCCATAGAGTAGCACCAAGGCTCCAGAAGTTGGTGCCTAAGCGCCAACCTGCTATTTGTTCTGTTCCTCCATGTACCTTTTTTTAGCTCTCCTTCCATTCCAATTTGGTCCAAATCTCCTACATTTTGAACCTACAACAAAAACATTTAAATACATTTCTTTAAAGTTCAATTTCATCAAAATAAATCTTAAATATAAAAGAAAACTTGCATGCTATCAGACATGTCGATCATACTCTTTTAATCTGACACCTCAATCATCTGCTTACTATCCTTGGCCGCTTGATTGCTTTGAGAATCGTGTCAGTAGTTCTAGTTCATGCATATTAGTTTTTTGAGTTATCCTACTACTTAAAAGTGATAGCTACGATAAGAGCAAGGAAACTATTGAGCAGCGGCATTAAAATCAAGAAAAGTAATTTGATGATTAACTTCCCTTTGGATTTTCTGTCTAGTGTGCTTTATAAATAAAGTTATAGGCTTAACTTGGCATTTGTTGCCATCATTTTTTTTTCAATTAACTGAGTTGCATCATGGCTAATGGCTCGAGCAGGATCATCGTGGACCCCAGAATTCTTGCCAAGGCAGGTTATGCGACCTTAGCCTCTGTAAAGAAGAACAAGTTTAAGAAAGGGAAACAGTCAAGGACCAAACCTTTGTCAGCTGGTCAAGTCGACTCATTGGGGGATCTCAAGGGGTGAATGTTGAAAATCCATCGTCAGGAGGTTGTGATCCCTGTGTCTGGCAAGGGTGTAAGGGTCGAGGGCCAACAGGCCTTGCTCGTAGAAGGCGTCGAGGCGATCAAAGAGGAACTGACGGGAGGAGCGATCACCATTTCTCTTTAGTCGTTACTGCGGGAATGTGGAGATACCTCGTTGCAAGAGGGAGAGAAGCCTTATATATATGGATTACATAAAACCTTCATTGGTCATTGATGGTTCTTAAATATTATTTATATTACTCTAATGTAGATGAATTGGTCGGGTCGGAGGACTGTCAGGACGATGGCGATCGAAGGACATTGCAAAGTCTGTCCAAGCCGTGGTGGTCGGTCTGCAGGATGAATAAGCTTGGCTTTTGTCGGCATTCACTTCAGAAGGGTGTCAGTCTCATGACCTTTTTCCCACCATCGACTTTGAACAAAAGTGAAGAAAGTGGTGGTCGTCTTCCTTTAGGGCCATGGAGTAGCAAGTAGGGGGGACCAAGCCCTTGGTGGTGATGGTCGATTCTTCAACGGGAGCGGCTGGAGATTTGGCCGTAGATTTTTTAAGGGAGTTATCAGCTCATATGGCGGCTATGGGCTCATCAGCTTTACAGGCAGAGGATATCACCTTGCGAAGGGGGTCGTTCGAGGCATTGCGTGAGTTGGGGGAGCTTCGTAAATCAAATGACTTGGGCAATTTCCAACAGAAAACATACTTAATGGATCATATTAGGTTATGCAGACATATGGTCTTCAAAAGGTTGACATATAGAGGGTATGTCTTGGCTGAGGTCTTAGAGGACCCATTCATAAATCACTTTATTCTGGACATGTAATATTATTACTTGAAAATGAAACGATGCTTAAATAAATTTTAAAAGATACTTGGTGTGACACTTATTATTATGTGACATATTGTTTTACGCGTTCGACTTATAAGTAGGGCAAGGGGCCACTTATTTTTATTTTACATGCATTAATTTCTTTTTTTGTGCTTCTGATATTTCTTTTTCTTTTACCTTCTAATCGTCTTTTGTTCTATGAAATAACTTTGAAACATTCCCCTACCCTCTTTGGCTCCGTCAAGGGTGTTGATCCTTTGTTTATTACAGAGATCACAGTGAATGAGTTGTAGAGGAAGTACGTTCGACGTGATAGTGTCACTCTTTAAAAGATGTCAGAGTTGGCTTTAGCGACGAACGTCGTAGGCAAGGATCTGGTCTTTGACATAGACCAGCTCAAATATGGTCTCTGGTTACCTCAGTATGACAGGCTCTAGGGTATCTTCGACTCATACTTGATTATTCTGATGTAAGTATTGTTGAACTCCTTATCTGTCATAATGACCTTCATCTTTTATTATCATCGACAACATATTTTATGGTCAATTGACCTATTTAAGCTTTTTTTTTTTTTGCTTAAGGACGCTAAGGAGGGCTTCACCATATCTTCGACGGGTAAGGAACTTCACATGCTCGGAGTGGAGAATAAAATAAAGGATTGTAAAAATAAGATTGTTTGGCTCTCGCATTAGTGAACGGGAGATATGTGCCGAGCCATCAGAGTGAGTGGTGCACATGCCAAAGTTTCTTCATTCGAGCTTGGAAGTTGCCACGGCAATGCTGACCAACCATTATCTCTCAGACTTGCATTACTTGTGTATTGATGGGCACGATGACAGAGGCTTAGTTGTGTCTCTCAAACATTTAGGAGGTGACCCGAGCAAAGGTAGAAAAAGACAAGTTTACAGCCAAACACAAGAAGCAAAGGAGGCTTCCAGGATCAGGTAATTCCATAGGAGACGATGACCCACTCCCTTATAATGTGGCCTTGAGATACATTGTCTTCGTGTGTGAAACTAGTGTTGTTGTTCTAGATCAAGTGATCGGTAAGATACTACAATTCCTCATAAACATACTTCTCATTTTGTTGATACAAGGGAAAGTGACTGGAGAGCATACAAATCTGAAGGGGTTCTGGATGAAGCCAAAGCCGCATCTCCACCCCCTCTTCCTCAAAAGGTGGCACGTC